CCGAGAAATACTAACGTTGTCGTTTTAGCCGAAGCTCGCCTTTTCCATTTTTTTCAATAACTCGGAGTCTTTAAATTATACTTCGCTATCTACAGACTTTGGCGATTCCTTTGAAGCACGTTCATAAAAGTTTCAGTATTTGACGTCACGGAAGACTTTTAACAAATGAAACTCTAGAAATATTTTTATTTTTATTCGAACTTTTTATGATTATTTGTTTAGTTTTTTTTTCTTTCTATTTTTAACATTTAGAAAGATATTAAAAACCTCAAATATTTTATGCTGGTTCGTTGCTATAAATTGTTATTGCGCCATAATTTTAATGCTTATAAATTATGAATATTCATTATCTCAATCAAGACTCTGATAAAAAATTGTTTTACATTAATTACCCTTATAAAATTAGTAACAGCATTTTTATTTGGTTAGACAATATTTTGTCTCAATTTGCTTTGCATGAAGTTTGGGAATTCAAGCGAAAAAAATTAGTTTGAATAATCACTTTAAAATATATTTAAAACAAATTATTTTAATGACGGGGGTTTGAAAGTTTTTTATAACAAATGTAGGTAAAAAATAAATAATTAAATAAAAAGTCCAACATTAAACATCATATCTTATTATAATGCAACTGTAAATATTGAAATATTAACTTGAACTAAATTTACTTATTATTTAGAACGACTAAGCAATAAAAATAAAAAGCCTCTAAAATTATGCGATATTGTGTTGTTTATTTGATAATTGTTGTTGGTAATGTTGTTTATGTTGCTTATTTTCATTAATATCAAAATAGTCCCAGATTAATCTGTTAATTGTTTTGTTCATTGTTGTTTTATTTCTAATTTAATTTTATCTCTAAATATAAATTTATGTTAAGAAAGAAAAGTTTGTATTTTATCGCTCGCTCTTTTTATAAAAGAGTAGAACAAAAGAGAAAGAAAAGTTTCGCGTAATTAAACTTCGAATGAATAAGAAATAAAATGAAAATAAGTAAGATTCAGAATATATAATACTCGCTTGCACAAAAACGAGCGACCATATACATAACGTTCTATAAAATTTAAAACACTCGTATGAAAATCATAAGATTCGTAAGTAAAGCTTTAATATTTGTTTTAATATAAAAACAAAAGAATTATAAGTAAGATATATAAATCTAAAAATTATTAAGATATCGGTAAAAAAAAAGTTCCTCCTATGAAATAAAAAGCTTTTATTATTTTTGATTTTTACAAAAATTTGTTGTAAAAGTTGTTTTGCTGTATGTTAAAAAATTACTACATCGTACTTTTTGAATTAAAGTAGAATAACGCAGCTTTAAAAAAGCATAATTTTACATTAGTATTACAATAAAATAACATTAATTTTAACTATAACAAAACTCAGTTGTTTACTGCAAACAACTATTGTAATACTGTCAACATTCCTATATCAATAAATAACAACCCTCTCACTTAGTCTTCTTCTTTACGTCTTCTTGGATTATTGTTTGCTACTAACCTCTTATGAAAACCATATATACAATCGATTACAAAGTTTACTCTTTATCGTGCTTGCCACAATAAAGAGTAAACTTTGCAATCGATTATAATATATTATGTATATAAATCTCCTGATTCTATTCATCTATTTTATACCTCAACAAATCTCTTATTCGCTCCTGGAATATTGTTTTTATAATTTAACTGGTTCTTCTAAAGATGCCCTTAGTCTTGTAAAAAAAGTCCAAAAATATGTAAATGAAATTAAACCTGTTCTTTCTGCTAAATTTGATCCACTATCTTATTGTTGAAAGGTTGCATCACTTTCTCTTGTCTATAAATACAATCATGGTTGCCGCTCAAATGAGCTTTTAATAAGTCATTCACTTTCTTGCTTGACTCATCATCCAGCAAAGTTGTACCCTTTTACTTTATCTGTTCCTTTTTTGCTCTAAAAACTCTTATTTATTTTTTTCCTTGCACATTAATGCTTTCGACTTCTCCTATATTCATGTTTTCCCACTTATACAATTTAAAGTTTTTTAAAAGTCTTCTGTCAACCATTTTCTTTCTCTTCAATGATATTCTTTGCTTTCTGTTAATTTCTAAATTAAGTAGTAATTCCTTGCAGCTTTTTTGGGAATAAGTTATATATATAACAAGCCTTCCCAAGAGATGTGTGTGGTCGCACACCTTATATGACCATGTATAATTTTTTTTTTTGACAACTTGGCCACGGTTTATTTGCATATATTGATAGTTTGGTGTTTTTTTTATTTAAAACAAATATTTTTTCCTATATTGCTTGTTAATCGCATAGGTTGATTATATGTGTCATTTATGAGGCATGACTGTTATATCAACATCCATAGAGGGTTCAAATCCATTTATTATTTTTTTAAATGTTTTATTCACTTTGTAGTCATTAGAAAATGTTACAAATTTTTATATAATTATTTTAGAAGTAATTAAGCTTTGATTAATTCTTTGTAGTGAAACGCTTTTAAATTAAAATAAAATCATATATTAATTTTATGCTTTTATCTTTTCTGGTTTGATTTTTATTTTTTGTTATTTAAGATTTAAATTTTTTTAGTTAGGTTTTGTGTTTTGTGTTTTTTTTTTAGTTTTTATTTCTCTTTCCAGTTTATTGTCTGTTTATTTTTAATTTTAGTTTGCGTTTACATTTGTTTACTTAGCGCATTTTTTAAATGCGTTAAATAAACATATACATACATACATACATACATTATGTGGCATAGTCTTTATATTAGACATTTGTTTTTATGTTGATTTAAATTAGTTTCTAAACAATAATATAAAACATTGTTTATCGTAAAAAACATGTCACAGTGAAAATGATGCAACTATATTTATTGACATATCTCTCAAAAATTGGAAGTAACTAACCGCAATTACATTCTTTTGTTTTTTTATTCTTTTAGTATAACATCTGTCAAATTATTATTAACATTTTTAATTATTAATCTGTTTGTTAATTAATTTGTGCGTGCTTTAAAATACAAAAATTAAAATAGGGAGACATAACTCTCGAAGATAGACAATCCTATTTTATTTCTAAAACAAAAAAAGTCAACTAGAAATGGCAAAAATTGTTAATAATACAGTGCAGCATATTATAGAATGTTATCAAAATAAAAACAGAATAAAAATTAAAGTGAAAAAAGTCCCAAAAGAAGTTTTACAATAAGAGAGGAACGTTGGATTGTCTGAACTTTGCGAGATAATCCACGTTTAAGTGAACGTGGATTATCTCGCAAAGATAATCATTGAGGTAAAAAACAATTTGGAACCCAAAAACAACTCGTAGAGTTTTAATAAAAAATGACATACATGGTAGAATTTCTAGGAGGAAACCATTTGTAAGCAAGCAAAATAAAAAAAATAGACTCAAGTTTGCCAAAGATTACAAAAACAAAGATTTTAATTTCCGGAAGAATGTTTTATTCACTGATGAAAGTAAATTTAACATCTTTGGTTCGGATGGTTAAGTTAATGTATGGCAAAGAGCAAATGAAGAGATAAAAGCTCAACATTTAAGACCAACCGTAAAACATAGTGGTGGTCACATAATGGTTTGGGGTTGTTGCTCAGCTAATGGGGTGGGTAATTTACATTTTATCGAGGGCAATATGAACAAAATAATGTACTTAAACATTTTAAAAGAAAACTTAACAACTAGTGTGGAAAACTTGGACATAAAAGATAATTTTGCGTTTTACCAGGACAACAATCCTAAACATACATTACACATAGTGCGAAAGTGGTTATTATACAATTGTTCTAAAGTGATAAAAACTCTGTACAGTACATACATCGACTGACAAATAGCCTGACTCGCAGTGGAGTGCTGCTACATCGACTGAGGGTTTGGGGTGGGGCAGCAATGGTTTCATTCATCTTTATTCTTTTTTTTTCTTCTTTTTCTTAAAAAGCCGTATGGATTAAGGTAAGCAAAAAAAGTAAGCAAATGCTTATAAAAATAATTATTAAATATATATATATATATATATATATATATATATATATATATATATATATATATATATATATATATATATATATATGTATATATATATATATATATATATATATATATACATATATATATATATATATATATATATATATATATATATATATATATATATATATATATATATATATATATATATATATATATATATATATATATGTTTGTGTATATCTATGTTTATTTAGCGCATTTAAATAATCCAAAAAAAAAAGCTAAATAACATTTTTGATTCACTGCTGGTAATTAATTGGGTAAAAGTTCAACCCCAAACATACAAGGCAACCATTACATTATTCATTGACAAAAATATTAATGTTTGGGGCACACAATTATTAATGTTTAGTGCACACAAAGTTGGAAAGCTTTACTGGGTGAAGGGTACCATGTATCATAAAATCTTAGTTAATCAACTTAAGCCAAGTATGATTTTTTTTTTCCTAAAGGGTGACTACATCTTTCAAGATTACGATCCCAAACACAATCCCAAATACTGTTAAATAAAAGATATCTAGAATTTTAATTGATACCAGTTTTATGTTGGCCAGCACAGGCTCCTGATTTAAATCTAATAGAAAATCTTTGGTCTATATTAAGATCTATATTAAGATCTTAATAAAAAGACCTGTAAATAGTATGCTATGTATGCATGTTTATCTAGAGATAAAAAAAAATTCATAATAACTCAATTAAAGTACTAGATGTTTGAAAAGTTAAAGCTAATTTTGTTAATATATTTGTTAAATATCCATTGAAATTTTAAACGAGTAGCATGCCAAATAAATAGAACTTGTAATATAAATTAAAGTTATTATTTATAACATACTACTTCAATATTATTTCTTCAGTTTTAACAATTTTTTTTTATGTATGCTAGGTGAAAAATTATTGGTTACTCTAATACAGGTTATTTGAGTTATATATTTGGTTTTAATGTTTTAATTGTTTATTTGTTGTTTTAGGAATATCAAAAAAAACAGAGAAAAAAGATCAAGAACTTAATCCAACATATGGAGAGGTTTAAATTTTTTAAATCTATATATGTTAAAGGGCATCAATATCCGAATTTTAAAAAATTTGAGAATATCTGAGACTGCTGCTTAATGATAAATTGTTTAAAGCAAAATCAAGTAGTTAACATGGTTAACTATTGTGGCTTCTTTAAATTATTTTCATGCTACAAAATTTCAAAATGTTATAACATCAATTCTCTTTTGTTGAACAGTGGAAGAGTGCTTATTATTAATAAGTATATGCTATACTCAATATACAATCTCAAGATCTGCTCGATATTCACAAGAATGTTAAGCAAAATGAATGTCAAGCAGTGTGAATGTTAAGCAGATCTTAAGATTGGGTATTAAATATAACATCCATATTAAGTATATGCATGGATATTAAGTATAGCATGCATATAATCTTTACTCTGCTTGACATGCATGTCAAGCAGAGTAAAGATTAATTAGAATAAGTTGTTTACTGCAAACAACTGTCACAGTACTGTCAATATTTCTATATTGGTAAGTGGCTTGAATGAGTCCTCTTCTTTACGTCTTCTTGGATTATAGTTCACTCATGGAACCATATATACAATTGATTTCTAAGTTAGCAACCTTAGTTGCAACCTTATTGTGCTCACATTTTCTTACTCCTGATTCTATTCTCTTCCTCTACAAATCTCTTATTTGTCTCTATATGGAATACTCTTGTCATATTTGGACTGGTTCTTCTAATAATGATTTTTTTCTTCAAATGTTGTTGAACCTGCTCTATGTGCCAAGCTTAAGGCTCTCTCCCATTGTTGCAAATTTGCATTTTTTTCTCTTTTCTGCAAATACTATTATGATCGCTGCTAAAAGATGCTATCATCTCTAATTTCATTAACCAAAGCTCATTCTGGCTTGACTTGTCATTTATTAAAGTCTCATTCTTTTGCTGTATCTGTCCCTGCATGCTCAAAAAACTATTTGACTAGTTTTTTTTCCTGCACTTCAACCCTTTGGAACTATCTCCCATTTTCCCAACCTACAATTTTTGTTTTCTTCTGTCAACCGTTTACATGCTCTTTAACTCTATTATTTGTTGTTTAGTAATTTAGTAATTCTAAACATAATAGTGGTTGCTTACAGTACTGTTGAAAGTGTATCAGAATTAACAAAAAAAAGTTATTGAACAGATCTAGGATGCTAAGCAGAGTTTAAATATTGAATTAAAAAGATTAAATTAAATTAAGATAAATTGAATTAAGTAAAGTTTAAGTATTGAACAGAGTAACGATGTCAAGTAAATTGGGAATATTAAACAGCAAGAATGTTTATAAGTATAAAGTTTTTTAATATGTATTGACAATAAAGTTTTTTTTATTTCTTTCTATTATTTTAACAAATTGACCAACTTGTTAAAAAAAAATTATCTAATATTAATCAAGTTTGGTTGTTTAATCATTTCAGGTCTTTGAGTTTAATTTATCTGGTAAAGCAATTGGTCCAGGTGATAGCATAGATGTCGTAGTTAAAGATTATGAAAAAATTGGGCGTAATCGTTTAGTTGGTCAAGCAACAATATCTTTACAACAACTTTGTAAACCAGGAGTAACAAGCATAACTTTAACTGGAACTTTGAATGATGCAAATGGCAGACCAACCACAGTATGATTTGTCTTAAAAAATAAATTAAAATGTGAAATACAAAACATTTTTCACTTAAAATATCTCTAGAGATTATAAGAATTTATAGTTATATAGTGAAAATAATAATAATCAGCCCTTGGAGTTAGGGTCGGCATTCAGCAATACTGACCTAACTGCTGGTCTAAAAGTGTTAGAGGTTGGCAAAAAATCGCTGACCTCATTTGTATGTTTTATAGTAACCCCTTTGTGTCAATTGTTTTTTGCCGACCTGATGCCAACCTCTAACATTTTTCCTAATTCTGAGGGTTGAATAATGAAGTTCAAAATTTTATTTATGATTTAATTTTTAAATAATCATCAATGAAAATAATATGTAATTAATTATAAATAAATGTTATAAATAAATATGTAATGATTTTTAATTTATTTTATATTATTATACTTAATTTTATTATTATTATTATTTATTATTATAATCATTTCTTTTTTAAAAAAATAATATTTTAATTTTTCTTTTAAAATCTTTTAATAACATATGTTTGGTTTTATTAATACTTTATAAAAATCATTGTTTTTGCTTCAGGGTTCTGTCTCATTTCGTGTTGATTACACCCCACCAGCTGGTGGAGCTGCAGGTGGGTCTGCTGATGGTAAAGGAGTTGGTGGAGATGACCGACAAGTTGCAGAAGGAGAACAAGATGGAGCAGATGATGAGCCTGATCCAGTGCAAACTGAAGATGGAACACCAATCCCTCCTGGACCAGAAGGTGATGCTATTAGAGCTGCAGTCAAGTCAAGGTAGTAACAAGTTCTAAGTTTTTTTATGTTTATAGTTTCTTACCAATTCATCTATAATTTTTTATACTTTGTGCACAATAAAAAATTGCATTTAATGTACTATAAAAAGTTATTAACTGTTTATGTTTTTTTTTGTTTATTATTTGAACTCAACATATTTAATCCTATTTAAAACAATAATAAAAAATGTAAAAATTTTTGTTTAAAAAATTAAAAAAAAATAAAAACAGTTTTTTATTTAATTTAAATTTTGTTATTTTAATAAATTTTATATGCATGTTGCACATATTTTTTTTCGCATACATCAGTGTTTTAATATTCTCTCTGTTGTGTTTTCTTCAAATTAAAATGTAAATAACAGTCTGGCACTCTTGTCAACTGGAAAATGTTTATAGGAATCTTTATTTTTCTGTTTTTTATTTCAACAAAATGTTTATAGGAATCTTTATTTTTCTGTTTTTTATTTCAACAAAATGTTTATAGGAATCTTTATTTTTCTGTTTTTTTATTTCAACAAAATGTTTATAGGAATCTTTATTATTCTGTTTTTTATTTCAACAAAATGTTTATAGGAATCTTTATTTTTCTTTTTTTTTATTTCAACAAAAATTTATAAGAATCTTTATTTTTCTGTTTTTTTATTTCAACAAAATGTTTATAGGAATCTTTATTTTTCTGTTTTTTATTTCAACAAAATGTTTATAGGAATCTTTATTATTCTGTTTTTTATTTCAACAAAATGTTTATAGGAATATTTATTTTTCTGTTTTTTATTTCAACAAAATGTTTATAGGAATCTTTATTATTCTGTTTTTTATTTCAACAAAATGTTTATAAGAATCTTTATTTTTCTGTTTTTTATTTCAATGTTTAAACTTTTTCAACTTTTTTTGTTTGCTGTTGAGGTGATCAAAACCTTGTACACAAGACAAACACTTTAAACTTCTGAGGCTTTTTCTTTCTGCTTATTCTTTTATTTACTTACTATTTACTTGCTATACCCTCTTTATCCAAATTTTATTGTGGTGTGCAATTTAGGGCAACAAATAATAAACTTATATACTTTTTTCAAAAGTTCACTTATATATATTAAATATAAAATTTACTTACTGCAAAAAAATAAATTTTTTTAGAAGAAAGAAAGCTACTCGTCGCAAACCTCACAATCTTCCAGATAAGCCAACTGATTTTCAGGTTCATTTATAATGTTATTGTTAATATTTTTTCTGTTTAAAGAAAAAGGTGTATATTTTAACATAAAATAACTTTTAGGTTAGAATTAAAATCATAGAAGCTCGTCAATTACCTGGAGGGAACATTAATCCCACTGTTCGGATAACTCTTGGTGATGAAACAAAACAAACCAGAGTCAAACATTCTACTAACAAGCCATATTTTGATGAAACATTTTTCTTTAATTTTAATGAGCGACCAAATGATATGTTTGACAAAATAGTGTCATTTGAAGTTTATAATTCAAAATCTTTGATGTCTGATGCACTTTTAGGATCATTTGGTTGTGATGTTGGGCTAATTTATGACGGAGATGATCATGCCATAGTTAGAAAATGGTTATTAATGACAGCACCTGAAGATTCAGATGTTAAAGATAATGCAGAAGAAACAAAAGGAGTAGGTCCAAAGCCAGGTGGACCACCTGCAGGTTATGTTAAAATAACTGCTATAGTATTAGGACCTGGTGATGAAATTCCAACTAGCGCTCGAGGTGGTAATGAAGGAAGTGCAGATGATGAGGATATTGAGTCTAATTTGCTAAGACCAGCTGGTGTTACACTTCGACCAGCAACCTTTCTTGTCAAGGTATACCGTGCAGAAGATATACCTCAGATGGACTCTGCTGCAATGGAGAATATAAAGAAAATTTTTTCATCTGGTCCTCCCAAAGAGTTGGTTGACCCTTATGTTGTGTTTTCATTTGCAGGAAAAACAGTAAAGACTGATATTAAATGTAACAATGATCACCCAGAATATAACCAAGAATTACGTGTTTCTTTTAAGTTTCCATCAATGTGTGAGCGTCTTAAATTACAAATGTTTGATTGGGATCGTGTTGGCAATGATGATTGCATTGGTACAAGTTTTATATCTTTAACATCAATATCAGGATCAGGAGATGATGGTGAGTCTTTTAGCCAATGTCTCTATATTTTGAAACTGATTTATGTTTTCTTTAATCTCTATTATAAGCTTTCTTAATAAACTATAAATGTATGTAAACTTTAATGTATAAATGTATGTAAGCTTTAATATATAGATATTTAATGTAGAGAGCTAGGAGGTTTGGTAATGTTTGACATCAGTTCAATAAATCAAGAGTTTCAGTTGTAAAAACAGTTTTTTATCAAAATAATGAATAAAATCATACCTTTGAAATGTCAAAAATTTAAAATATTTTATTTGTTAAATTAAAGATGAAAGTTTAAAATGATTTTCAAAATTTTTTTCTGACTTTCTAGTGTAAATTGTTATATTTTATAACTCATTATAACAATTGGCTTTACTAGTGTTTTGCAATTTTATTTTTGGTAAAGCAGGATAAGATTATTACAAGTTATTACAAGTTATGTTTCCTGAAAATAATTTTTAAAAAACAGATTAAGGGGATCAATATATTTCCAAATATTGAAACTTGTTTTAAAGTAGCATTTATTTTTGTAAATTTTTTGAAAATGCTTGTCTTTGTGCAAGTTTCTTTTGTCAATTTTTTTTCATATTTGCTATATAAAATTGGCGATTGAACAATAAGTATGTATGGAAATAATAATTTGATTGGCGATTGAGTAGTATGTAAGAGAACAATCAATGATTCGTATGGAAGATGATAATGGTAAGCAGAAGCAACTTTTGTTTTGAATAAAAATTATTTTAAGCCACTGAGAGCTCTAAGCTTTCAAAGAGAAGAGATCATATTGATTGTGTTGAGTTTTTATTAAAATTTCTTTTAAATTTTTGTATAAAAATAGAACATATGGCTTTATCATTTATTGTTAGGGAGATCATTAATAGAGAACAGCAACAAAATCTAACCAATTAATTTTGTTAGATTAATTGGTTAGATTTTTAGAGTTTTTAGAAGTAGGATTATATTTATAGTTTCTTACCAATTCATCTATAATTTTTTATACTTTGTGCAAAATAAAAAATTGCATTTAATGTACTATAAAAAATTACTACTGTACTGTACTATAAAAAAATTATTAAATGTTTATTAGCAATGTACTATAAAAAATTGTTAACTGTTTATGTTTTCTTTTGCTTATTATTTGAACTCAACACATTTAATCCTATTTAAAATAATAACAAAAGTAGTATATTTTCCAGAAGATAGGAAAACAAACTTAAAAATGTTTTAGCTTTCTAATTTTGGTAGTAAATAACAAATCTCTGATACTTTTTGCATAGATAATCAGACAAATGTTTTTCTTCTATATGTTTAACAGTTTTATTTCCACCTTTATCTGTTTAGTTAACAAGATAATTAATTGTTTTTTCAAAAACCAAATCAAATAATTTAATCAATAAGAATATTATTAATATTCTTATATTATATTTTATAAATTTATATTATTCTTTTTCTCAACAGGCAGCATTGAAAAGTCTGCTTTTTCAAAAGAAATGACCTAAGTAAATAAAATTTCAAATGAAAGAAAAACTAAAAATATTAAAATGGAGCCCTTAATAACTTGCATGCTATATATACTTATTTAATTTCAGGTAAAGATATTGTATGTGGAATTATTTTTTTTGTTATAACCATTGAAACTTCTGTCACAGAAGGAACCTATCATTCCTTCCATGACACAAGTTTTGAATGCCTATAACTAAAAATTTAGAATTCTATTAACAATGTCTTTACTCAAAATGAAGTAGATATTTATAGATAATATGTAAGGTATCATTGCCCCCTTCTAAAAGTTTTTAGTTTTTTTTTGAATTCCTAATTTAGTCTGCAAAAATCTTTCTTTTTTTAAAACAAGACTTTTTAATCCTACCCCAGACAGACATAATAAATTAAGTAAAACATAAAGTTGATTGATTGCTAAATCAATAAAAAGGTAGCAATAAAAAGATGTTCAGGGAGCATCATAAAATGATGGTCAGATAACATTAAAATGATGATAGCAAAAAAAACTTAATAGTCACAAAATTCTGAGTGTTAATGTATTTTACATTTTTTTTTGTTTCTTTGAAAACTATTATAATATGTTCCCTAGTTTATTAGAAAACTTTAATACTTTATACTCTTTAAAGTTTTGCAGTTTTATTATGTACTCCCACCTTAAAAATCTATTTTGACTATCAATAAATAGACCAAGCTCACAAAACTTTTTCTGTAAGTTTTAGCATATAAAAAGGATCAGAAATAGTATATTTAGTACATTATTATCATAGGATTCAATTTTAAAGTAGGTTTTAATATTTTCAACTTTTTCTTATGAACAAGTAAAAAGCTAACAATCTTTATAAACTTCATCTTTTTAAGCTAAGATAACGATTGACAGATGACTTAAAGATTGCAAATTGTATGAATCAAGAAAATGAAATGAAGGAGGCAAATTTCCAAAAAACTGATGTTCGAGGAGAAAAATTAGAAGAATAAGAATTTTTGGAGCACTTAGTAATAGTCACAGTAAAAGAATGAGATTTACTTGAATGACGAGAATGAATTTTAGTAGATGGCACAAGAGAAGCTAGCTCTTTAGAGCAGTGCTCATTATAGTATTTATAGAATAGAGAAAGAGAAGCAACATTACGACAATGTGATAATAGTTGGAGGTTAGCTACATAAGAAGATCCACATATGTTTACAATGTGTTTTTGATAAAAAGATGCAACCTTAGCAGATGCTAATTTTGCAATTTATTTGATATATGTTTTCCAAGAAAGATTGGAAATAAGAATTAATCCTAGAAGGAGAATCCTAGAGCCAAGCCATTCAGTGTGATGAACATATAAGTCACCAACAACAACAATATTGGCTGAAAAATAAAGAAAAAGGGCTTGGCCATTTTGATCAGAATTAATATCAAAAAGAGTGCAGTCTTGAGATGATGGAGAGCAATATATCGGGTGGACACGGAAAAATCCGGTCAACTTTAAATTGAAATTTCTCTAAAACCACATATGCTTTTTATTTAAATTTTTTTAAATTAAACGTTACTTCCTAATCTAAAATGGTGTTAATAAATTGTTGTTTACAAATTAATATTTTGCAAAATGTTTCCGAAACAATCGGAAACATTTTGCAAAATCAGAGTTTTTCAAAAAACAATTTTGAAAAAATCCATCTACATATTGCTTGATTGCTAAACGCACAAATGTCCCAAAATCTACAGTCATAGATATTATAAACAAGTTCAAGACTACTCAAAGCTTCAAAAGAAAACTTGGAAGTGGAAGAAAGAAAACTTTTCATAAATCCAAAACGATAAAGTCGATTTTACATTCAATAGCAAGAAATCCAAACCAGTCACAGCGAGATCTAACAAGAAAATTCAAGACTTCTCGTTCTTATATCAAAAAATTACTTAAAAATGCTGGAATTAAGGTATTTTATAAAAAAAATACACTTAAGAGGAACCTAAATTGTAAAATTAAAAGAATTCGACGCGCAAAGAAGTTGGTTAAAATAATGGCGTATAAAAATATGTACATAACTAAAGACAACAAAACATATTGCAAGGCAGATTTTTCACAACTTCCTGGTCGACAATTTTACTATGAGAACAAAGATAAACTTGTCGATAATCAATTTAAATATATTCAACAAGAAAAATTTGCATCCAAGTTCCTTGTGTGGCAAGCAATTTGTAGCTGTGGTATGCAGTCTTCTTGTTTTGTCACTAAGAAGACCTTGACTGCCAATCTCTACATCAAAAAATGCCTCCAAAAAGACTTCTGCCTTTTTTGAAAAAACACAAATACTGATGTCTCTTTCAGCCTGATTTTGCTGCCTCTCACTATTCTAAAAAAGTTCTACAGTGGTGCAAAAATAATAATGTGAAAATTGTTCCTAAAGATGCGAATCCTCCAAATTGTCCTGAAGAGCACAAGATTGAAGATTTTAGGGTAATAATTAAAGGAGTTCTTATTAAGACAGGTGGAGTAACAAATAGTAAAAAGGACTTTCAAAAAAAGTGGATTAATGCCACCAATAAGGTGAAAAAAAAAAAAATCTGCGAAATGATGGCATCAACTCGCTATAAAGTTTGATCTCTTGCCAAACAACCCATCAAGCGCCTTAAAATTAAGTTGAAACTCTAATTTATGTAAACACATTTAATAATAAAAAAATTTAAATAAAAAGCATTTATGGTTTTAGAGAAATCTCAATTTAAAGTTGACCAGATTTTTCCATGCTCACCTGATATAACAAAGAGAAAGGCAATAGAGTAAAGTGGTGCTAAACAAAAGCACATAAAAGAATATTTTGTATTTGACATCCTAAACTGGAAACAATGTATTATAAATACATTTACGCCAGCCTAATAGATGAAGAGGAGTGCGAGGCTGGTCTACAGATAGAACCCCTTAAGTCTAATTTAGGTTAATCTAGATCCCCCGCACTAATCACAGGCTTGGCCAGGAATGGTGTGTGATTGCATGCTGTAATTGACCACACTTATAATCTCCTCCATATTTGATTTGATAATTTAATATGTCAGGGTTATATTATATTATTTATGTAAATATTCCTTACATATTTAACTTGATTATTAAATATGTATAATATTATAAAAATAATGAATTTCTATTTTAGGGGGCTGTCCTTTAATTATGTTATCAAAATAGTAGGAAGGGGATGTCTGAAATTTTTTTAAAATTGATGACAAGGGAGAGGGGGAGGGGGAGGTTGTCATCAACAATTTTACTTTTTTAAAGTAAAATTGTTGATGGCAATTAATTTTACTGGAAATATGTTCTTAAGTTAAAATTTTATCAATTTTTTTCTATACCTTTTAATTTTATTCATTTTTTGTTTACAAAAAGTGAATAAAATTAAAAGGTATAGAAAAATATTATTCACTTTTTGTTTTTAATTTTTCATTTTAATTTTATTTTTAAGGTTGGTTTGATGTAGTTTTATAGGAGTGGTCTCTGAAAATTTGACAAGTTGTTGACAAAGGGAGGGGTGGGAAGAAGGTAAAAGTTGCAAAAAAGCTGTTGAAGTAATTAATGGATAGCCCCTAATTTATTAGTTTTTTTAAACTAATTTTGAATGTGTCATGTTATTAATTTTCTTAGATTTTTACTTTTATTTTTAATTTTTAATTTTATAAATTATCATGATAATATATTTCAAGAAAACGTTAATAACTGAAATTAAAATCCTGGAATCAATAGAGTTCTAAATTTCAAGAATGAAAGTAAAGTACAAGATTACAAACCCTATTTATAAATTGTGTACTATATGTATATATTTATACATTATACACTAGGGCTCGAAAAAAAAACTTTTTTGTTTCAGACAATTAGTTTGTTAAATACTTAGATTTGGTTGACATAATGACATTACAATGAAAACTAACAAAAAAAAATTTACTTTAAGGAAAGTAGTGCAATTGCACACCATTCCTTACCATGCACTGGATCATGTCAGTTAGCATGTTTTTACAACTTTAAGCATTTCAAAAATGCACTGAAAATTAAGAGAAAATTTTAAAGAAAGAAAATTAAAAAAAAACTTTACTTGAAAAACTTAAGTTTAAAAAGAAAAATATTTTTTTTTTCTAAGAAATTTTTAAAAACCTTTTTATTTTATGCAAAATGCTTTGTAAATTATTATAAATTATAAATATATTAATTACATAAATTATTATGTTTACTTATTACTTTGTTAAATAAAGTAAAAAATTACTTTAAATGATTGTTTACAATAAACCCATTTTATTTAAGTTATCTATGTAATTTCATTTATATAAATATGTGTTTTTTATGATAAATCTTTTCAAACTTTTTCTATGATTAATTTTATAAACATTTTTAACAGCGAAAAACTTAAACTTGAAAAAAATCCTTACATAACATAACTCAAATTTAATAGTGTAGTAATAATTTTTTGTTTCTTTAAGTATTTAAATAACTATTATGTTAAAATTTTTATAAAATAAATTTAAAAATTTAAAAGCTAAAACATTAGTTTAAAATTTATAAAAACCGTCAGACAAAAAGTTAAATAAATACTAAAATATAAATTAGTAGTTAAATGGAACGTTTTAATAAAAATGATAAATACCAGGCTGTTCCAAAAAATTATAAGCTTTAGTATCTTTTAAAAAAATGAAGCTCAAAAAAATGGCTTTTTTAGCATAACTATGTGTTCAAGCAATTTTAGTAAGCATATCTATTGGGCACAAGCTGTGTGAATACAGCAAAAAAATAAAAATAAAAACATTCATAATATTTTTGTTTTTTTATAAAAAAAATTATAAACATTCCAGTCTATTAGGATGCGTTTTTATGGTTTTTTTAAAAAACCATAAAATTCTTTTAGTTTCCTTAATTAAATTTAATGGTTTTTACATAAAGTGTACTCAACAATCTAGGAGGGTGGTTAGAGTTAGCATTTATATAACTGATGAAATTACCAGGCTTGCAGTAAGGTTTGAAAGAACTGTCATTAAGATTTAATGTTAAGTCCAGATAGTTAACAATTTTAAAATTACAGCTGATAGATATAAGAAGATCAATATTTATAAAAAATTTCACAAAGTGCTTTTTAATTTTTTCCATCTGTTGGCCACTCCGATTCTTAAACTGCTATATATATAATATATATATATATATTATGCTCCATATATATTTAAAAGGATATATATATTTTCTATATATATATGCTTTTATGCAAGATAACTATTCCAACTAATTCACAAACTTCTGCGCCATCAAAGGCTCCCATGGTGACATCAAATAATCCTCCACTTTTTTTTAATCTAGGTTTTACCATTGTTAAATAATAATGATTTCCTGGCATGATGTATTAACTTTTTTTCATCTTGTTTTATAATTAAGTATTTTTCAGCAAAGGTTATAGCGTTGTTCAGTAAATTTTCATTAATTGAAGGATAAAAATCAGTTATATCAAAAATTAAGAATTTATATAGATGTTTTTCATTAATACTTTGAAATTAATCTATAACGTTTTCTGAGTTTAGCCATTGATTGCTGCAATCTATTTTTTTCAATATCTGCAATCTATTTTTTTCAATATCAATAATCAATCTAACCTTTTTTTCTAAGGCCACTATTTATTTTTGATAGAATAACTTTAGAAATTCTTCCAACTTCATTTTTTGCAGGATTTATTAAGCGAACTCAAAGACCACAAGAATAATTTTTGTTTAAAAAATTATACTTGTGGTCTTTGAGAGTGATAAAACAGTTGGTGGTGCCATTTAATTCAATTCTGTTGAAAACGTCATGATTAGTTAAAAGGTGTTTACTTTCAATATTTAAAAGATCTTTCAGATTTTGGTCAGCCTTTTTATATGTAGATGTAAGGGTGTTCTTAAGGAGGTGGTTATACTATTCTTTGGGAATTTTGTACATATAGGTGGTTTTGTCGGTTTGAGTAAAAGTTTTATGTGGTTTGCGCAAAGGTTTTATATCGCTAGAAAGCTTTTCTTGAAACTTGTTGTTTACTATATAAAATTTAATATTTTTAACTAGATTAATTAAATCATTTTCAAACATAGCCATTTCATTTATATGTGGAGGACATTTTGCAGATTTAATGCCATAGTTTTTGGGTTTGGATGAATTAGTTTCGTCAGAAAATTTATTAAGAAAGAATAAAAAGCTTTCCACCTCATTCTTTTTATGAGTGCTTCAGTCTTCTCCAGTAACTGTAATAAGAATTCTTTTTCCGATGGAATAGGAATATTTTTGATTGAGTAATTAAAGTTTATTTTCTCCATTGTGTGGACGACGTTTTTTAAGCCGTTTTTTGTTTTTGATTTTGTATTTAATGACTGATATATATATATATATATATATATATATATATATATATATATATATATATATATATATATATATATATTTAATGATACATAAACAAACTGTATTATAGGTTTTTTACCTGCATTTGGTCCAACTTTTGTCAACTTTTATGGCTCTTTACGAGAGTTTTCAACTATTCCAGATGAGTATGATGATTTAAATAAAGGTCGTGGAGAAGGTGTTGCTTATCGTGGCAGAGTCTTAGTTGAGATAGATACTCGCTTTGGTGAACATGCTGATAAACCAGTTCAGGATATTATGGCTCAAGAACTTATACGTGTCATGCCATATTTAAGGCGCAGAAAATATAAACTTTTTGCAAGTTTTATGAGTGCTAATATGATCTCAGAGTCTGATGGTCCAATTGAATTTGAAGTCAGTATTGGTAATTATGGAAACAAACTAGATAGCTCAGTAGCCCCACAATCATCAAGTACACCTCCAGTAAATCCTGTCTTTGATGGTGCGGCATACTACTATCTTCCATGGAATGAAACAAAACCATGTTGCGTTGTTGAAAGTCATTGGGAAGATATTGCTTTCCGTTTAGAGCCTATTAATATTCTTAAGAAAATTATTAGTAAACTGGAAAAAAACATTAAAGCAGTAGACATTAGCATCAAAGCAAAAGCGCAACCGGCTGAAACAGCTGCTTTGCTTATTGCTCTGTTAGATCAATTGATTTCTGATTGCAAGTAAAAAAAATTTTTTTGTTATGTATATTCAATTTTTATGTTACTGCTTTCTATAATCTACAAATTCTATAATCTACAAATATGATAAATAAGTAAAATAATTTTTTCCAGTAATTTTTCAAAAAGTCTTACACTAAATTTTTTGAATGTTATTAATTAATATATAAAATTAGTATTTTTATTATCCTATTGTTATTATTATTTTTTATATTATTGTAGTAATTATTAATTATTAATTCTTCAGAAAATCTGAAGAACTGACATTTTTGTATATATTTTTGTATATAAATATATAAAAAATAGATATATAGTAATTATGTAGACTTTTTTAGAACTCCTTTACCAGTTTTTGATTCTACATTAAATGGTGTCAATGAATTAGACTTAAAAATTCTGGAAATACGTCAGGAGGAACTTAAAGGACTTGCTAATGAAGCAATTACTTTGCGTGAGCAGGCAACTGATATAAATGAAGCAATGGATACTATTGATGGATACCATCGCAAATTGCGGGACTTATGTGAAGAAGTAAGCAGACAGTATTCAAAAATTTTTTTGAAGTTTTTCCGTCGGTTAATAGTTTCTTTTGAAATATTTAAATATTTTTATAGCCACAAAATTCTATGCCAGATGTTATTATTTGGATGTTATCAGGAACAAAGCGTATAGCTTATCATAGGATACCTGCATATGAAATCTTGTATTCTAAAAATCCTTTAGCAAAAGGTTCTAAATGTGCTTCATTGCAAAACATTGTTTTAAAAGTGAGTAGATTTTTTTGAGTTTTTTGCATTAAAAAAAAATATATAGTAATAAAAATAATAATGTATACTAAATAGTATCATTATTTAAATTGTTAGCTTTATTGAATTATTGTTATTTTTATTATGATATTTGTTTAAAATTTTAAATACATTTTATAAAGAGTTATTTATATGTTCCTTAAATTATTGAAATATTTATTAAATATAAAACAAAGTAAGAACAATAAATTCTTAAAATAAGAAAAAGTAATATTGCTTAAATTTAGTACCCTGGTAAAAAGCAGTTTGACCTAGATAATCATCATGAAGTACCTGGTTGTTTGAGTATGATTTTATGGCTTGGTTTAGAAACTGATCAAGCAGCCTGGACAGATACTGAGCAATCAGAAGGGGAGTATTCTGTTTATGCAGAGACATATGAAAATCAGATGAATTTACCAGTGGTAAAATGGACAGCCAAAGGTTGTACACGACCTGCGTTCTCTGACTCACAGGGTGATGTGAGATTAAATAAAGAATTTTTCTCACCCCCACCTGGTTGGAAATGGGATAACCCACCAGATGGTGATTGGTTTGTTGATCCAGAACTAAGGTTTATTTTTAAGACTTTTTAGATAGATAATAGCGATTATCGGTTGTATTATAAAAAGTAAAAACAAAGTAATATAGCTTTTTATATTGTTAATATATATTTAATGTTGATGTAATTAAAACAATATATATTATATAAATGCATATTGATCTTGTGTAATTGTTGTTTTAGTTTTGTGGTTTAGAAAAATGTAAAACATTAGGGATAATTTTTAAATTTAGTGCATCAAATGATTCAGATGCAGGTCATAAAACGTTTTTGCAAGATGCATATGAAAATGAAAGTCGTATACCTAGTGGAAATTGGGGTACTTCTACTATTCCATACACAAATGTTCAAGGTGATGAAATTGAACATCGTGATAAAACAGTTTTACCTGAAGGATGGAAGTGGGTTGATGATTGGCAAATAGATGTTAATAGAGCTTGTGATGAGGAAGGTAGTATACACAATATAAATATTTGATAATAACTTTATAAATTTGATTTGTTTTTGTTTTTGCTAGTGCAGCTTTATTAGGAGTTTTACTGATTTGTTTATTATTTGCTGTACTGCACTACTTCAATACTTCAATATTTTTTCGGGGGTCTTGGGTGCATATACATATTTTTGTGAATTGATACAAAGTTCATTTTAGTTTTAAGAAGTTTTTAAAAAAAGTTTTTTTATATGAAATCTTTGGTGCAACATTTGCATAAACAACACAGTAATGCAGAAATATGTTTATTCAGTATCCATTAGTTATACCATCAACCTTTAACAATTAATATATGTAAAAACAATACAAAGTTCCTATCAATGTGCTTATATTATTCATATCTTTTATTAACTAATTTAGAAAATACTAAATCGTTATCTGCAATACTTTATAATTTATAATTTATCTATAAACAATTACTGCAGCGAAAAAGATTTTGAAAATGCAAACAATCTATTGACTAGGTAACAGCATGTATTTTTAAAACTTCAAATTAAAATTAGATACATTTTAAATATAAATTAGCTAGGCTCCGTACATTTTCATTGTATACAGTTATTATTTATTATATAAATAAATAAACATTATTTGGAACAAGAAATATTATTAAGAAAATGTGAACTTAAGTTTAATGTACCAAAATTAATATTGATTGACAGAAATAAAAGTATAAAATTCAACATGGAAGTGGAAAGCCAACATGCCTGAGTTTCAGTGATTAGAAATATAATACAAGCTGATTGTTTAAGAAATTGTTTGAAAAACACAAAATAAGAAAAATGGCAAACCTTCACCGCAATGTATAAATTTAAAGTGAGAAACATGAAGTAGCGAAAGTAAAAAGTAGTATAATATTTTTGATGACCATGATGAAGTCTTTTAAACTAATCATGATGAAGTCTTTTAGATGACTAATCATGATGAAGTCTTTTAGACTAATCATGATGAAGTCTTTTAGACTAATCATGATGAAGTCTTTTAGACTAATCATGATGAAGTCTTTTAGACTAATCATGATGAAGTCTTTTAGACTAATCATGATGAAGTCTTTTAGACTAATCATGATGAAGTCTTTTAGATGACTAATCATGATGAAGTCTTTTAGACTAATCATGATGAAGTCTTTTAGACTAATCATGATGAAGTCTTTTAGACTAATCATGATGAAGTCTTTTAGACTAATCATGATGAAGTCTTTTAGACTAATCATGATGAAGTCTTTTAGATGACTAATCATGATGAAGTCTTTTAGACTAATAATGATGAAGTCTTTTAGATGACTAACCATGATGAAGTCTTTTAGATTGCTGAGTTGAGTCAACATTGCTTTGCTCGCATTTTGGATTTTCTTCTACTTATTAAAAAACTTAAAAAAAGTTCTGAAATTTTTTTAAAAAATTCTTAAAATGCTAACATGTTTGAATATGTAGCCTTGTGATAAAATGTTATGTCACACATTTTATGTATGCAAGTAACAATTTTGCGTAAAGCTATTTATGTTATGCTGAAAACATTTTTTTTTGTTAATATTCTGTTTAGTAGTTTGAATGAAATAATCAATGTTTTAAAAAATGTTTGTTGTAATTCTAATTGTAGTTAGCAGATTAGATATTTATTTTATTAACGTACTATTAAATGTTTTCAACTTCTATTAATTCTATAATAAATAATATTTTATTAATTCTAGAAATTCTATTAAATCTAGGGTTTATTGGACTAATAAGAACAAAGTTATTTTTATAAATATAAGCATTAGCTTGCTGTAAAATAAGTTGATGATATAAAAATAGATAATTGTTGCAAACTGAGCATGATTACTTTTAATTTCATCTGGTTAGCTGGCTATTAGCCAGCTAGCAGTTTTATTATTCAGCTGTAAGATTTGTTAGTCAGTTGCCATTTTGAATATAAATGTTATAATTGGTTGATTTGTTCACAATTTATCATTTTTTTTAGGTTGGGAATACTGTATTGAAGCTACAACTGGTGGTTGGGGTGCGGTTGAAAAAATGTATCATTTATGCCGTAGGCGTAGATTTGTTAGAAATAGAGTTTTAGAAATAAATCAAGAAAAACTGCGAAAGAAATTAGAAAAACAAACCAAAACTGGTGAAGGCTGGGAGTATGCACCTACGTTTACTATGAAATTCCATACAAAAGAACGCAAGTTTGATATGGTTCGAAGAAGAAGGTGGCACAGAAAAATGGTTAATATTACACCTGGTGCTCCTCCTGTATTTTTGATTCCTAATGATGATAAAAACAAACCCCCTATTCAGTTTATGCCACGTATATTTTTAGCTTTTGATAGTAAGTATTGTTTATGCTTCATCAAACGTATTCAAATATAATAAGTAATTTCATTAAAAATAATTATTGATGAGTGTTTATTTTTATTATTTGTTTATTAAATTGTCTATTTGTTGCTTAAGAACCACATAAATGGCAATTCAGAGCTTACATATACCAAGCAAGAGATATACTTGGTCTTGATTCTGAAGGTGTTTCTGATCCTTATGCTAAAGTTTGCTTGCTAGACCAGAGTAAGGTGACTAGAGTTATTAAAGAAACTCTTTGTCCTGATTTTGACCAGACATTAATTTTTGAAGATTTGTTTGTGTTTGGTTCCCCAAAACTATTTGCAGATAATCCTCCTCAAGTTAGCGTGGAGCTTTACGATGAAGACAGAGTGGTAAGAAATCATCCAGTAATTTCTATAAACTTTTTATTAGAGTATTTTTAACAAAAATTAATTCAGTAAATTTTTCTTAGGGCAAAGATGAATACTTAGGTAGAGTATTTGCTCATCCATTAGTGCGTTTAAATGGTTCAAAACCACCAGCACCACGTTTAATGTGGTACCCTATTATTAGGGGAGAAAAGACATGTGGAGAGCTTTTAGCAGCTTTTGAGATATTTTTGGTAAGATAAAGAAATTTAAAATTGTTATTTGTTATGAAAGTTATATTATTATTATAATGTATATAGAGATGTCAGTGATTTTGCCAAATATCGAATATTCGGCAAGGCACTTGGCCAAAGCAACAAGTATTTGGCTGTTGAATATTCGGCAACACTTAGTTATTTTGACTGTTTTCTAATCTTTTTGAATGGTTTGAAGAGTGTTGACCTGTTTTATTGATGTGCATATGTTAACTATGCTGTAAGCACTTTTTTTTCATTTTTAACTTAGTACAGTATGCATTAAGTTGGCTTATATAAAAAATATTCTTTTAACTAAAGTTATTATATCACAGTATCATACTCTTTAAACTATCCAAAAAATAAATAATAACCAGGTCAGGTCTATCTTGCTTCTTTGTGGTTCAGAAGTTGCTATAAATAGATATAGCACAAATAACTCCAAAAAATGGTAACAAATAAACAATAAAAATGACTACAACCTGAACTTAAAGCATGGCCTAACTTAAATGCGAATGCCTATTCCAAAACTAATTTCAAGAGGTTAGTTAACTTACAACACGCAAAACAAATAAAGATTTAAAATACTCTGAGAATGATGAAGTTATGAATGGCATGCAATTGCATGCTGTAACTGACTACGCTTACAATTTTTTTTCTTTATAACTTGACCATGGCTGTTTAGCAATTTAAATGCAATTGAAAAAATCATTATGTTATGAATTACTTTTAATCAATGAATCAATTTTCAAAAGTTTTTACTTTATGCAAAGGTTTTAAATAATTTAAAAATTAATTATAATGATCGTTTAAAATAAATGCATTTTGTTTAAATTAAATGTTATATTAATTTTTTTTTAGTAGGCATGTATTTATTTATTAAATTTAAACATTTAAAATTATTTTTCAAGGTTTTTCTAAAAATCTTTTATAGGATTTTTTTTTTAAGTTACTTTAAATTATGAATATATTTTAAAGTAACTTAATAAATTAGACAGCAAACCCTTAAAAGTTGTGGTATGCAAACGAAAAACATTATCCCAACAAAACTTGCTAAAATCTTTTTATTTTCCAAAGGTAGTGTACATAGTGAATGGCTATTTTTGGAAGTATGTATAACTTATGAGGAATTCGCAATTATTTGCTATCATCAAACAATAAATGTTTTCATCATATCATAAATTTTATTTATCAATTATGTCAATTATTTTTTAAAATAAAGAATATTGAAGATAGTTATATGAAATCTGTTTTTATTTTTATTTTATTTATTTTTTGTTACAATCTGGTATTTGTCCAAATAAAGTTCAATATTTGGCCAAATACTGATTAGTAAAAAATGTAGCCGAATTGGCTGAATACATTCTGTATACTATATACTGAATGTATTTGTTATATATTATACCGAATGTCGCATAATATTCAAGATATCTCTAGTATATATGTTATTATAGTAGATATTTTGTTATATGTAGTATGCATATAGTATATATATACAGTATCGGACAAAACAAGTGCAACCAAATAATGCTAATTTAGTTTCTTCATATAAAAGTGCTGCATTTTTTCAATTTATAGAAATAACTATGTAACTGTTTAGAGACAACATTCTTCAAGTTTTATTCATCACAAAGTTCATTATTTGTACACGAAAATTAATAAATTAATCAAAAGTATTAAAAAAAGTTGATTTCCTTCTGGATAAAACAAGTGCAACTCCACAAATTTTTGACCAAGCTGTATTTCGCTATCAATATTTTGTGGCGAATTCTTTTGTTGTCGATCACAGCCTTGCATCTTCGGGACATAGATTCGATTAGATGATCAATGAAACTTTGTGGAATTGCTGCCCAGGCCTTTTGGGTTTGTTCAAACAGTTGATCCTTATTACGAACACCTTCACGATTAATTCTGTGGTTGACGATCTCCTACAGGTTCTCGATAGGGCTGAGATCCGGAGATTGAGGCAGCCAATCCATCACCGATAGGTGGTTGTCTTGAAACCACTGCTTGACTACTTTTGCAGTGTGTTTCAGATCGTTGTCTTGCTGAAAAATCCATTTTATTGGCATATTCCATTCAGCATGAGGTAACATAACATCTTTCAGAATATTTTTATACATGAAACGGTCCATTATTCCATCAATTCGATGTATTGGACCTAGACCGTTAGCAGAAAAACACCCCCAGACCATCACATTGCCTCCACCATGCTTCACGGTCTTATGGCAGTAACGTAAGACAAGGCGTTTTACTGGCCGGTCGACGTACGCGGCAAATGCCATCGCTCCCAATGATGCTAAACTTCGATTCATCACTGAACAGGGCAGTTTGCCATTTCTGCACATTCCAGTCAATATGAGATGTAGCAAACTGGAGTCTTTTCTTCTGGTTCTTTAGTGAATTCAGCGGTTTCTTTCCAGGGCGTCGAGAAAACAATCCGGCTTCAACAGTACGTCGTCTGATTGTTTGGTCCGATACACGCAGCTCTAATTGCTTTTGTATCTCGACTGATGATAACCAGGGATCTTTCTTGACCGATCTGACGATCATAGAATCCTCTTTAGAAGTGGTGGAATGCGGTCTTCCACCTTTGTTATCTGCTGCCAACTTCCGTGTATAACGATATTTGGAACATAGTCTTGATACAGTCCATTTTTTCACGCGCTATTTATCACAAATACTTTTTTGTGACATTTTACTTACGTAATCACTAATAATTCTCTTTCTTAGTTTCAATCCAAGACTGTCGGGAGCCATTTTTGTCTTTAAAGTCATAAAAATAATAAAAATAAATAATCACGCTTCTCAAGACTTACCGTGTTACATTTACCTTGTGATGATACAATAATGCTCTGTGGAACACAACGTTTTGGTTGGCTGTGGACTGTATTGATGTAATGAAACACTTGTTGTATTTCATTTCTTGTATTGATATTCTTCGATAAAAGACTGATAAAACTCACTTTGATAAACTGTCTTGATAATACTGACTGATTGACCATATTCTGACTAAATTACATGTCGGTTTACATGTCTCTTATATAGTAAAATGAAACTGTGTGAATCTGTTCTGGAAGATTCTAGATGCTTCTTTTCGATGCTTCTGGAAGCTTCTGGATGCGTCTGGATGCTTCTTAATGTTTCTGAATTCTTCTGGATGCTTTCAGATGCTTCTTCTGGAAGCTTCTGGATACTTCCTTTAATTATTAAAAAACTTCCGTGACATTGACACGGACCAGACTTAAGAAAATGAAACCAAAAAAGTTGCAATTGTTTTGTCCGCTGCAAAATGGCACTTTTCAACGAAATTCTGCCTGTGTGCTGTCACCTGTCAGCTGATTGCTCATGTCATGGCATGCTATGACTCCAGACTCCTGAACTGTTTGCTGTGGTAGTATAGTTTGTTTCATTTTTAAGACATGTAAAATTAAAAACACTTTTTAGCATTGCTCGATGTGGGTTGCAAATGTTTTGTCCAATACGGTATATTTTTGGATTTTTTTGTTATAAAGTTTTTAATGCAAATTAATCAGATTTTTATAAAAGTAGTTAACAAGGATAGATCTTACACTCCATCTCTCATTCATGGGACTGATCTTATTACCTCTCCTAAGGATAAGGCAGAACTATTTGCAAAGAACTTTTCTTCTAATTCCATTCTTGAATCTTATGGATGTTCTCTTCCTTCCATTCCAGTCAAACAGGTTGACCCATTGTTAGACATTCAAGTCACTCCGGCTTTCATTGCTAAAGTCATATCTCAATTAAACTCGTCTACAGCTTGTGGTCCAGACAACATTCCTGTCAAAGTCTTGCAAAATTGTTCTCCAGAACTTTCTTCAATTCTCTCTAAACTATTTAACAAGTGTTTGACTGAGTCTTGTTTTCCTGCTTGTTGGAAAATGGCATCTGTGGTTCCAATATTCAAAAACTCTGGAGAAAATTCTGATCCCTCCAATTATTGTCCGATCAGTTTCTTTCTGTTATTAGCAAGGTCTTTGAGTCTTTGATCAACAAATTCCTCACATCTCATCTTGAGTCAAATAAACTACTGCTAGACAATCAATACGGTTTTTGATCCTCTCACTCTACGGCTGACTTGTTAACTGCTGTAACTGAAAGATTTTATCGTGCATATCTAAAGCTTTCGACAAAGTTTGGCATGCTGGTCTTCTCCATAAGCTTACTTCATATGGTGTTTCTGGGAATGTTTTTGAGATAATCAAATCATTTCTTTTTAACCGGTTTATTAAAGTCATCCTTGAAGGCCAACACTCTTCTTTATTTCCAATAACTTCTTGGGTTCCCCAAGGTTCCATCCTGGGCCCTGTTTTGTTTCTTATCTACATAAACGATCTTCCTGATAACCTTTTATCTAAAGTAGCTCTTTTTGCTGATGATTCAATTTTATACTGCTGTCTTGACAAAAATTCTTCTCTTTTCGATCGCCTAGAACAAGCAGCTGATCTTGAATCGATCTCACTTCAGTAATAGATTGGGGTTCACAGTGGCTTGTGAATTTCAACTCTAATAAAACCCAGTTGTTTACTGCAAACAACTACCCTATAATGGTCAACCTATATTAATGAATGGCAATCCTCTTACTGAGTCGTCCTCTTTACGTCTTCTTGGATTATCGCTTACTACTGACCTTTCATGGAAACCATATAAACAATTGATTGCTAAATTAGCTTCTGCTAAGGTTGCTTCTTTTTATTGTGCTCGCCATTTTCTTACTTCTGATTCCATTCTCTATCTCTACAAATCTCTTATTCGTTCCTGTATGGAATACTGTTGTCATATTTGGGCTGGTTCTTCTAACGATTCACTTTCTCTTCCTGACAAGGTCCATAAACGCATTGTAAATGTTGTTGGACCTGGACTATCTGCTAAGCTTGAGCCTTTTTCCCATCGTCGTAAAGTTGCATCTCTTTCATATATATATATATATATATATATATATATATATGAAAGAGATGCAACTTTATCATCTTTTGCATATATATATATATATATATATATATATATATATATATATATATATATATATATATATATATATATATATATATATATATATATATAAATATATATAAAAATATATATATATATATATATATATATATATATATATATATATATATATATATATATATATATATATATATATATATATATATATATATATATATTAGGGTAGGTCGATTTTAGCTTTTTTTTTGAATTTCGAGTTGCGTAATGTTGCAGTTACTGTGTCTAGCTTAGAAATAAGGTTTTGCCAAATATCAGGTGTTCTGGTTTAAAAATGGCTTGCGGATTTACATTTCAAGACTTAATATTGGACTAGCTTTGTTAGATTGTTTATTTCAAACATTGAAATATTTTATTTTAAGTCTAGTAACCTTGTTTTAAAGTATCTCGTTTCGAATTTTTAGAGTAACCAATTAACGATACTTTAAAAAGCGCAATTGTTTTAAGAAGCCAATAAATTTTCGCTAAATCGTTTACACGCTTTTAAATTTCAATTTTGCTAATCGTTAAATGTTGGTTTTAAAATTAAATTTTTTAGTATTTAAGTATTGAAAAGTAAAGTATTTAAAAGGTTCAAATATAAAACTACAATTTAAAGAAATAGTTAAATATCAAAGGTAAATACTTATGATTAATATATTTACAGTAATGTTTTTACCTGATTAATATTACAAAAATTTTTTTTTTGCACCTTTTAAAATATAAAAGTTTCAGAAAGAACTAATGTTAACTTAATTCATAAATAACTTATACTCTCATGGGCCACGGCGACGGGGGGAAAAGGGGGCTGAGGGGCTATGGCCCCCAGATTTTTTCAAAAGGACCTTTTTTTAAAAACTAGATTTTTTGTAGTAAGTTTTGATATTTTAGGTTTTTTTGGTGTTTTTCCCCCTCCCCCACTAAAAAGTCACGCCGTGGCCCATGGCTCTAAGTGCTATACTTTAATAGAGTTTACATATATTATTAGTATACAAAAATGCCGAAAGTTACGACTACAATTACACGGATGAAAAGTGAAAAAAAGTATTGCGGTGGCCCATGTGAATTATCAATGACAGATCCAAGCACTTTTAGACAGGTTATTCAGTACTATTACTATCTAATTCATGTGAATCCAAATGCAGATATCTTATCAGTGACTCAGCAAATTAGCAATAATATAAAATCAATTTGGGCTTCAGTAAACCCAAGTTTACCTCTTATAACTGACAAATCTATTAATAGGAAAGTAAAAGATCTCGTACTTGTTAAGGATATTAATCGCAAGCACGGAAAAGCAAGCGCTAAAAGAAATCTTGATGCTAACTTGGACAAACTCTTTGATATTTCTGTGTGTTCCTGTTCATTAGATGTGTTTCCCTGTAGTGATAGAAAAGTTTCTTGCAATAAATAAAATTGCATTGAAGAACAAATTGTATGCCTTTGCTCTCAAAGTAATAAAGTACCTCTTGAAGACAGAGCTTATCTTCGTGATCAGAGAAAAAAAATTGGTCCAAAAGGTGCATATCAACTTTCTTCCATTGATAGATTATCTGTCAAAAAGACTCAAAAACTTGATAAAGAACGAAAAAAAATATTTGATAATTTAGTTGATGAAGATGAATCCCCTATACCACATGTAAACTTAGTTGAAGAAGCAAGTGGTTTATTCAATACGGAAGTAAATGTTTTATAACTACATGATATATTCGTAGTAGATGAAATATAAAGCATTTTATTTTTTTAACTTTTTTAGGATGAAGGTGAATGGAAACCAATAAATAATCCTATTGGAAAATACAACTTGGTTAAACTTCCAAGATTTGCAATGGAACTAGTTAGAAACGAGTGCTCGTCAAACGTAGGTGCAGCTCTAGCAAATGCTTTACTACATGACATTAAACATCTCCTGAAAGACGACGTTGATATAAAAGATATTTTGATTGACAAATGCAAATTAGATAGAGCCAAATCAAAAGTAAAAACTGTTACTGAAGATGTGGGCTCAGAACAAAAAAAACAGTTAATTTGTCTTGGGGTTGATGGCAAGCTCGATCAGATAACTAAAACAAGTAAAATAATAAACTCACCTCAAGGAGAAGTACTAAAGAAATGCATTGAACCTGAACATCACCTCACATTTACTTATGAAGATGGAAAATCGAGTGGAAATTATTTGACTCATAGGACGATTCCTGTTACTGGTGCTACAGGCTTAGTTCTTGCTACCGAAACGTTCAGTGTTTTACAAGAATATAACAGTTTGGAAAGTATACAAGCTGTTCTTCTTGATAATACAGCTACCAATACTGGACCAATAAGTGGCTTAGTGGTAAAACTAGAAGAGCTTTTAAAAAGAAAACTACACCTAATTGGATGCGCATTACATCAAAACGAACTTCCGTTACGAGCTCTTTTTATAAAACTTGATGGTGACACAACTGGGCCAAGAAGCTTCAGTGGTCTACTTGGCAAAAGATGTGCTGAAAATATTCAGGATAGAAATCAAGTTTTGTTTGAACGTATTGAAAACCCAATAGTAGATGGATATATTCCAGAAGAAATATTAATAGACCTTAGTTGCGATCAAAGACTTTTGTTTGAATATTGCAAAGGAATAGGCTTTGGTAAAGTTTCTGATAAATGGGCTGCCTATAAAATTGGACCGCTTAACCATGCAAGGTGGTTAACTCTAGCTATTCGCCTTCTCTGTTTATATACTAGAGACAATCAACCAACCGTTTCTTTAAAAAAACTTGTATACTTTATTGTTCAAGTTTATGCTCCAGCATGGTTCGAAATAAAAAAATCTTCAAAATTCCACGAATCCCCGCGCCTTATTTTTTCTACTATTACTAGAATAAATAATCTCCCCTTTGATGATGTTAAACTTATTGTTAAAAAAAACATCAAAAAAAATGCATTGTGTCTAAAACCTGAAAATATTCTTTATGCCATGCTAAAAGATAATGACAAAAAGATACGAAACTTTGGTTTTCAAATCCTACTGGCTCTAAGGCAAAGGTATTTTTTATAGTTAACTAAAATAAAGTTTTGAAAAAATTTATATTAAATGTGGTAATTGACTTCGGTTTATACTCATAGAGTAAACAACGAAATTTTGAAAGTAAATTTGATGAAAATTCCGGAAATTAATTTTAATGCTAATCATTGGTATGAGTTGGTTGACATCAGCATTACAAAAGTTACAGAGCCCCCTACAACACAACATTTTTCAATCGAGCAAATCCAATATATGATTGACAATAACGTTAAACCTGAAATTTCCGACTTTCCATCTCACTCCCAGAGTGTTGAGCGAGCGGTAAAACTAGTATCGGAAGCATCCCAATATGTTTATGGGTTCGAGAATCGACACAGTTGCATTTTAACCAAATTACTAAGCAGGAAGATGCGTAAACCAAATATTTCAAAAGGACATTATTCCCATTCTTATGGTGATATTTTTTAATTGAAAATATTTTTCTAAAAATATATATTCCTGTTCAAAATGTTTTAAATTATTGTGAAATTATTGTTTATTGTAATATTCTTATGTAAATATAAGGATAAAAGATTCACTGATAAAGTCTTTAAACAATTAACAAGTTGTTATAAATTTAACTTAATTGTTATAAATTATTATAAATTTAAATCATTTAGCAATGCAAATAATATTAAAAACATTTTTAAAATGAACATATTTAAAACGTCAGTTTTCTCGTATAACGTTTTTTAAGGTGTTTTTTTGCGTAATCCTTCAAATCTTAAAAATTAAATCCGCAAGCGAATTTTCATCAAAAATCTTTCAAACTTTGAGAGTAATCATATTTCAACTGTCTCCAACTACTGCAGTATTACGCAATATGCGGAAGTAAAATCGACCTACCCTAATATATATATATAGTAAATATATTGTTATAGTATATATTGTTATAGTATATATTTTTTTATTGTATATATATACTATTGTTGTATATATATACTATTGTAGTATATATATATTATTATTATTGTATATATAGTAGTAGTAGTAGTATATTTTTGTTACAACAAAAGTAAAAATAATTGACAAAATACAAATCATAGATTGTCAGATTACAGTTAGTTTTTGTGAAGCTTTTTCAGTTAAGAAAGCTGCTAGCTTTAGTAACATTGGAGCTTATCAAGGCCTACTTTAAGGTTGTTGACAGTTAGAGAATCGATTACTTTATCTGGTAGCATGTTCAATGCATTGACAATGCGATTGTTAAAAAAGTGGAAGTAAGCTAAATGGTTGCTGTACTTTTCACAGTAAAGTCTTTCACTGTTATTTGCTCATGGTGGAATTGTGATGAAGAGAAAGTGCCAGTTGACTATGTTGATGTTATTAATAATTTTGTATTTTTGGATGAGGTCACCTTGTTCAATTAGAGAAGATAGGCAAAGTTGTAAACACCTGGACTTGTAGTTTAACTTTTTCTGTTTGTCTGGTATTTTTGTGGCTCTGCGTGTGTTAGCTCAATAGTTTGTTATTTCTTATTACCGATCATGTTACCCAACATTTTTAGATCTCCTGGAGACCGTAGACCAGGAAAAAAATTAGAGAATTAGAGTCTTTATTGGGACTCCACATCTGTAAAATAATTACCTGCTAATGTTAATTTGTTACTCTTGTGCGCACAGATTTTCATTCAATTAAATAAATAAGTTTGATAAGCCAAATAAATAAAAAAAAAAGGTTACATTTGGTAGAGAAAATGTTCTTAGTTACATACAAAAATTTTAAATAATAATTATATCTTTTTTATTATTTTCATTTTTATTGATGATTTTAATAAATATATAAATTATTTTTAACCTTATCAACTTATTTACTAAATATATATATATTTTTAAAAATCATATTATAGAAAACTTTAAATATACCTGTAAATTATTTATTCATTTATTACATTTGCAGCAAAAAATTTATAAAAAAATAAATAAAAAGATTTTAAGAAGAAAAAAAAAAAAAAAAAATAGTGACTAAGTACATTTAAAAAAAAAAATGTTCTCAGTTAAATACAGGAATTATAATATATTTTTATATTATTATAAAAATAATATATTAAATATTTTTATTTAAAGCAATAATAAAATAAGAACTTCAATTATTCATGAAAAAGATTTTTAATCACCAGTAAAATGAAAGTAATTTAAATAAGTGAAGCACAAAAAAAAAAAGATATAGTTTACGTCATCAGTTTTTCAATGAAGCAAATTTAAGTCAAATGTCATAAACAATAAAACTGTTTTAAATGCTTGTTTAAAATTTAAATGATTTTATGAAATTTTAGTATATGCATTTTCTAAATTACATCATGATTATTTGTAAAACCTTGTTTTTCAAACCTCTGATTTTTTTTCAACTGGTCAAACATAACCAGCAAGAGAGAGGGTCAAAATAACAATTTTAGTCATTTCAGGCGGTTGCCTGTTGACCGGCCATTATTTTTGTATATTTTTCTATTTTTTATAAAATGCATAACTCAAATTTGGTTTTATTTAAACACATTTTATATTTCAACTCAAATAATCTTTTAAAACTCAAAATTCTTTTTTAACTTTTAAATAATAACTTTTAAACAAAACTAAATATTTATTCTATAAAGTTATTTAGTTATTTTATATATATAAAGTTTTTGAAGGTCACATACACATTAAGAACATATTGTATTTTTTGAACCAACCTTTTGTTCTGTTTGTGGATGTTTTTAAGTAAGTTGTGCTTTTTGTTATAATGCTTTTTATGTTATATATGACTTTATGCTCTTACATTTAGGATGAGGGAGCTGATCTTCCTTTCCCCCCACCAATGAAGGATAATCGTTATATTGTACCTAGTGGAATTCGCCCTGTCATGGTTCGCACTGGCATTGAGGTAATATATCAAAATATTTTTTATATATTTATTAAATATCTGTAATTGCTTTTTCAACGAGAGTTTCATAACTTTTTAATTGCTTGCTTAAATGCGTAAAAAGTAAAAAAACTTTAAAATTTTTTTAAAAACTCCAATGTTTAAGTTAATAAAAAACCTGCCTTATTGCAATATTAAATTTTTGGCTTTAAAAAATGGCTGAAAAATGTATTTTTTAACAGTAAACAAAAGAAAAAAATTATATTTAATATAAGCTGTTAGGTTTGTTCTTGGCTAACATGTTAATAATATTAACACACACTATATCTCAATATGTACAATTTTCAATTATATGCTTACAAAATGGATCCAAAAGCATCCCTGATTTGTTCACTAAATAGCAGTTTATTAGTTTTCCAAATCTATTCATGTTGTAAAGTGAAGAGTCAATTAACAGCTTTAAAATGAAAGCTTAACAGTTGGTAATAAATAAAATTCTTTATAAAAAATATAATTTATAAAAAATAAAAAATAAAAATAATTTATAAAAAATATAATAAAATGTATAAATAAGTGAATATATGAGTGATAAACAAAGCGATAAATAAATTCTTTGTAAAATCTTTAAAAGTTTTTTTTATTAGTTTACCACAACATTAGGCCAAAATTAGGCCTTGTTTTAAATAAAAAAGTGCTAAACGAATTAGCTTAACGCGATTTTGACGTCATAAAATTATCTTAATTTTTTTTTATAGACGTTAAGTGTTTTAATTACCGCAATAAATAAATAACCACAAACTAGTTCAATTTAACAATTAACTCAAATATAAACTATAAACGTTTTAAATATAAATTTATTATGAAAATTTTGTAATGTTTTTAATTGTTATTTTATTATTAATTTTAGTTCAATATTATTTAGTAAAGTATATATATATATATATATATATATATATATATATATATATATATATATATATATATATATATATATATATATTATATATTAATTATTTCTGAAATTTTTTTTTGAATAATTGTTTTTAATCGTTATTGAATAAAAAATAATAATGATTTTTTTTATTTTAAAAAATTTTTTAGAGTAAACAAAAAATATTAACATTGATAAACACAAACCCATGTTAATTATTTAAACAACCATTTTGTTTTGACTAGCAAAGAAAAATTTAAGTTTTTAAATATTTTTAAAATTTTTAAAAGCGTTTTAACTTGCGTTTTATAAAAATATAAAAAAGTTTTGTCTGCTTTGAGCATATTTTTGATACGTAGTTGAGAACGCGTTCGCAAGGAATTTAATTCATGTTATTGTTAAAATATTTAACTTTTTAAACAAATCACAAAGAAACAGAGCTATAGAGAAAAATCGTTTTCAACGATTAAATCTTTTTTTTTTAATTTTAGGAAATTTAAAAAAAAAATTAAATTTAATATAAAAGTCTTAATTATGCAAACTCTTTTGTTAATTATTCTTAAAACAAAAAAACAAATACTTCTACGCCAAACTTTAATCGTGCAAACTTAAAAAAATACTCAACTGAAATAATTTAAGTATATTTAATAATTTGAATCGTATCTGTTTATAATAAATGTTCGTAAAAATTTGTTTATTAAAAATTAAGTTCCTTAACTTATAAACAAACTCAAAAGTATTTTCATTCTACGTATAATTACAAAACTCTTTTTTTTTTTCGTTTGTAAGCAATTTAACTTAATAAAATAAAAAAAAGAATAAATATGAGGTAATCTTTGTAAAGAATAAATTTAATTTATTTATTGAACTATATTTTTATTTTTAATTATATATCAACTTAATTAAAATAAAGTAACATGTTAAAATATTTTAACATGACTTGTATTATTTATAAACAGTTGCCCTTACGGCACTATTGTTTTTGGATAATATTTTATTTTGATGAAGATCACATAACTTACATTTGATTTTAATAACGTAAGTCTTCTCTTTTTCTGTGATCATCGCATCGGCAAAGCATCGGCAAAGTCCCAAGATTTAAAAGTTTTTAAAGTAAATCTATTGTCCTTCAAAATACAATCCATATTCGAACTTTAAACAATTTAGAGAAAATAGAAATATACAAGGTTTTTATATACTAGTTTGTTTTGTTTTATAAAGAAAAATACATATTCATTAGTAAAAAATGGAGACTGTCATTAAACTAAAACGTGCCTTAGTATTTATTTAATGGAACCTGTAATGTGCGCGTGCATAATAAAACCTCCGTTATATAAATATATTCAACATAATATTAGTGTCATCAGCAGATGTTGTAGTCTACTTATGATTTCTTTACCTTATAATATAACTTGATTTATAAAAAAAAAACTTATTTAATTGCACGCAGAAGAATTTTAACAACTTGCCTTCATTCAAATATTGCGAGTAACAGGTAAATTTTTTTTCTGTGCCGACCCCCTCCCCCCACATAACTTAAACTATATACCTTTAACTAATAAGAAAAGCAAAGACATTTTTTTTAACATCTCGAAAAAATGTCTTGATATTTTTGTTATCGTGATAATAAAAATATGAAGACATTTTTTGAGATTTTATTAAAAAAAATGTCAATTCTTAATTACAAATTTTTTTGCAAATGTTTTTTATTATAAATTCAGTAAAAAATTCATAAACAATCTATATTACAAAAAACTTTTATATTCTGTATTAATAAATATGGAATATAGATTTTTTAAAAGTTTTTTACTAAAAACTTTAAAAAATTACTACTTTTTATTAAAAACATTGCAAAAAATTTGTAGTTAAGGATTGACAAACAATTTTTCATGTTGCTAAATATTTGGATAAAAAGTTTAGCGTCAAATTAATTGCTATAAAAAGGAAAGATATATCGCGATGAAAAATTACAACAATTATTTTTTTTAAAGTAAATTCTTTTTTTTAATAAATATCTTTACATATCGTTATTTAAAAGTTAATGTGGTTTTTTTTGAAAATTAATTACTTCTTTTATGTTACCGCTAATTTAAAAGTTAAAAAATGATAAAAAGTAGCTTAACCAAAACAGCTCTACGCGTACGTAAAAAGCGCCTAAGGCGTACGTAAATCGCTCTAGGCGTAACGCTTTAAAACAAGGCCTGTAAACTCATGTGCTACCACAACATATATAAACTCATGTGCTACCACAACATATATAAACTCATGTGCTACCACAACATATATAAATTCATGTGCTACCACAACATATATAAATTCATGTGCTATCACAACATATATAAACTCATGTGCTACCACAACATATATAAATTCATTTGCTACGACAACATATATAAATTCATGTGCTATGACAATATATATATAAATTCATGTACTACCACAACATATATAATTCTATATAACTCGTAAAATACAATCACTTAAGTTAAAATCTAAAGATCATATTGATTGACTGAGAAATAGGATAAGAAACAAGATAATCAAAATGAAATGGATAAGATATGTGGTTTAAATATGGAGCATAAATAAATTATTCTGTTTTCGACTCCAGCCATAAAAATAATTTGAAAATGTTAAACTGTTTTGTTATACTTGATTTTTTGTTATGGTGGAAACATGAACACAATTTAATGCAGTCAAACATTAAATAAAAGTTTTAATACGTTGCTTTATAGATTTTATGTTGGGGTGTGCGGAACATGAAAAAATATCAATTAGCTGGTGTAACATCTCCTTCTGTAACATTTGAAATTGGTGGCCAGATAATTGAATCTGATGTTATTAAAAATACAAGAAAGAATCCCAATTTCAAAAAAAACACCTATTTCATAGATTGTGTAAGTTTTCTGATTTTATTTATTGTTATTTAAAAAAATGTTTTTTTCAAAGTTGTTTGTACTTGGTAAAGATTTTGTATTTACTATAAGTATTTGTTATATTATCAAAGTCAAAATTATTTTTAAGTTTATGCCAAAAGATCCTTTATATGTGCCTCCACTAAACATTAAAGTTCGAGATCATCGTACATTTGGACGGAAACCAGTAGTTGGTCGCCATGTAATCAAATCACTTGATATTGATCAACCACCTAAAGCAGATGTTCCAGCTGATTTACCAGGTTTTAACTTTTACTCATATTCATATTTTTTATTGCTTTTTATCATTGCTTATTTTTTTTTTTTTTTCTTAAATTTAAAAATGAAACCCATTGTTATATTTTATGCATCTACTATTGCAAGCTGAAATGCCACAAAATTATTAAAATTATTCAAACATTTACCTTCCCAAAGCTGAGAAGACCACTACAGTCGAGGAGGCTATTTTTTTGTGGTTACAACCCTCTCTCAACTTTTTAACTACGGTAGTGGTGTAGTGGTAGAGCACTTATAGATTATCTTTTACCTGTCTAATAAGATACCTGAAATTCTTAGCAGGTCATAAGAAATATTTGTTTGTTTTATTTGTTTGTTCTGTAAATGGGTTATTATGAATGACAAATTCATTCTGAGAAAATTGATCATGCCCAATATAGAAAATTAGACTTATTGATTGTGACTAAACTGCTGAGTAAAAAAAGAAGCAAACTTATATTTTTACAATTTATATACCAAAAAATGTCTAAAATGATATAGATTTTTATTATCATAAATGTTCAACAGGGTGAAGCATTAACCTTGGCTATTAGCTTATTAATTATATAGAAAGTTTAATAAAATTTTTATCTCCTTTAATATTTTATAGATCAATAAGTTTTGCCTTTAGGAGATATAATAATACATTTTACTTTTCTTACTTACCTATTTTGGTTGGCACACGATCAAATGCATCATTTTTTTACTAAAACACTTTTCCTTTTGATTTTTTTTGTGTTTTTAATATCTTTAAGATTTTTTTTTTCCCAAAAGTTTTCTAGTTTTTTTCCAAAGTCTATTTACTCTCTCAATAACTAACTTAGGTCACGTTAAGGTTCTAAAAAAATCTAATAGATTTTTTCAAATTTTTATTTATATTTTTCTCCCCACTACTGTGGACATGATAATAAAATGTTGTGTTTTAATTATCATATTTATTTATTATCATCCACACACACACATGTACACACACAAACACAGAATCAATTGATGAGTTCTACATTAGGGTTCTGAACTTTCTAATGGAATATTGGAATTTTATAATTAGTAAATTAATGGAGTTTTATAAAAAAACCAAACAATGAAGTTTTCAAAATCAATGAACTTTCATATTTTTATCATGTTATTTTTATTTAGTTCATAAAGTTGTTTTTGTATTGTTTATTTTTATTTAGTTGATAAAATTGAACAAGAAGAAAAAAAAGTGGACATTTCAATAGATATAGAAGAAAAAAATAAGAAAAAGGTTTAGAATTTTTTAAATTTTATTCGTGTATAAACTAAAATTTAAAATGTTAATTTATTTTAATTTATTTTAATTTATCAGGATATTGAAGAGGAAGAAAACTTGGATTGGTGGTCCAAATATTTTGCTTCTATTGGCGAATTGCATAAGTGTGGAAAATTCCTTGAGAAAGGCCATAAGACCATTCAGGTTTTTAAAAAAATATATTTTTATAATTTTTATGTTGTTGTTTTTTCATAGAAAACATCTGACAACTGAAATCTTTTATTCTGAAAAGTAAAAGAAAACTTTTGTTTTAGATTTATAGAAAAGAGCTTGAAGAAGTAAAAGAGTTTGGAGGTTTTAATGATTTTGTTAAAACATTTCCATTAGAACGCGGAAAAGAAGATGATGATGAGGATGATAACTTTGTTGGTGAATTTAAGGTGAAAAATTTTATTAAGCATAAATGAGTTTCAAAGACTGAAAGAGTTCTCAGCAAGTAAAAAGTTGAAATTGTTTAGTGAAATGCTTTCTTGGTTAATAGATTGTTGATATAAATTATACTAAAAAATATAATTGGAACAATAATTTGAACTTGACAAATAAAATTTTTGTTTGTTTGTCTTTTTTGTTTTCTTGTCATTTTTTGTATCAAAAATGACAATGAATAAAAACCATTATACCATTAAAATTATTATTTATTATTGTTAGAAATTACTTAAAATGTTTTGTACATAAAAGTCTTATTATTATTAGGCAAAGTTATTTTATTATTTTAATATTATTTATTGTTATTATTTTTTATTAATTTATTAT